AATCTTTAAAAAAGTAGTAAAGAAGGCAAAAATAATTGCAAATGGTGACTACATAGAAAAGTCTGAAAATAAGTCTAAAGCTGCTTGGCAAGTTGTTAATAAAGAACTTGGTCACGTAAAAAACAAAACTGATGGCAAATTATTTTTAATTAATAACGACAAAGATATATGTAAACCTCAGGATATAACTAGAATATTTAACACTTTCTTTGCCGAAACAGCTTTGAACATTAATGTACCAAAGGCCACTGTGCAAGGAGTTCATGAATCTGTTCGAGACTATTGTAGAGATGAAGGAATTTCGTTGTGTAATCTGCAGCAGATTAGTAAGGGTGAAGTGAAAAAAATTATTCTTTCCCTAAAAAACAAAACTTCTGTGGGTTGGGATGAAGTACCGATCAAATTAATTAAAGCTGCTGTAAATTTAATTTCTGAACCCTTATCTATTATCATAAATCAGTGTTTAACAAATGGAATTTTCCCAGACAAACTTAAATACTCACAAATAACTCCAATTTTCAAAAAAGGCTCTAGGTCAGATATCAACAATTACCGTCCAATATCAGTTTTAAGCAATTTTTCTAAAGTCTTTGAAAAAGTTATAAATAACCAATTAGTTTGTTTCTTTGAACATAATAATCTGTTTTATCAAAATCAATTTGGTTTCAGGAAAAACCTTGGAACAAATACAGCTCTTGTACACTTTATTAATGAAGTATCGGAGGCTTTGGGTGGGTCAAGGAGTGCAGCTGGTGTCTTCTGTGATCTATCCAAGGCCTTTGATTGTGTTGATCATTCGCTTTTGCTTCAAAAACTACATGACTATGGAATTTCAGGAAGTTGTCTTTCCCTAATTAGATCATACCTTTCAGATCGGAAACAAAGAACTGTAATTTCTGATGAAGGAACTAGGCATTTCTCACATTGGAAATGTATAAAGCTTGGGGTGCCTCAAGGCTCCATTTTAGGTCCCCTTTTCTTTTTAATCTACATAAATGACCTCCCTAAAGCTATTAATAGAGATTTGATTCTGTTTGCTGACGATACTACTGCAATCATTAAAGAAAATAGTAGAGAAGAGCTTCTTACATCTCTCACAGAAGTTATGAAAGAAATGGAAAATTGGTTTAACTAAATGTGGATAAAACCCAAATTATAAAATTTTCAGCCAGAAATGAAAGAGAATTAAATAGTTTTTCCAATTTAGTCCATACAAATAAATTCCTAGGCATTCATCTAGATGAAAATATTAACTGGAAGGTGCATCTAGATGCTATAAAGAAAAAAATTAGATCTGCATCATCTGTCTTTGTCCACTTGAGAGAATGTGTCACCATTGAAGTACTTAAAATGGTTTATCATGCCGATGTAGAATCCATCTTGAGGTATGGTGTGATTTTGTGGGGACAGGCAACTGATGCAAAAACTATTTTCAGACTTCAGAAAAGAATCATCCGAATTATGACTAATTCCCACCCCAGAAGTCCTTGTAAATTACATTTTCAAAATTTAAAAATCCAAACACTCACAGGACTATACATATTTGAATTATTAAACTACATACACAATATAAAAAATAACCTCCCGGATTCATTCAAATTCACACACAACTATAGTACAAGAAACGAAACAGTTTTCAGATTACCAAATCACCGTTTGACCTTATTTGAAAAAAGTCCTTTGTATGCAGGTTTAAAAATGTATAATAAACTACCGGTATATTATAAAATAATGAGTTCAAACAAGTTTCAAGAAACATTGAAAAATGGACTCCTTGAACGTGCGTTTTATAAAATAGAAGAATTTTATAACCATCCCTTGAGTTAATTTTTTGTTTTTAATTTGCTTAACTACTGTACTGTATTAACATTATTTGGCTAGGTATTTTTTCCTGTTACTTTGTACTTTGTATTTTTCTAGTCTAGGCTCAATTTTGACAATGCACCTGCTCTATATGTTATCACATCTAAAAGTATGTTATGTGCAAATAAATAATGTCTAAATGTCTAAATGTCTATAGACATTTTAAAATTCATTAAACTATGACGATTGCATTAATGAATTTTAAAACACACTGTAGACTACGGCCATATTCTCTTAAAAGCAGTTGGGTGACTTTCTACAGCCAGTTTTAACGTCTAGAACTGTGTGGAAAACTTCCGATTTCCCCATTTATAAGTAGAAGTCATGAATAAGTAGAAATTTTTAAAACTAACTATGACGATTGCATTTATAAATCTCAAAACATATTGTAGGCTACGGTCATATTTCCCTAACAGCTGTTTACTAACTTTCTAAAGCCATTTTTAATGTTTATATCTGTGTCCAACTGTCCAAAAACCTCCCATTTCGGCCATTTCACCTGTGTTTTTTGTCTTTGTCATGAGCAAGTAGACATTTTAAAAATCAAACTATGACGAACTTGCATTCATGAATTTCGAAACGTAGGCCTATTGTAGATTACGAATCCATATCTCCTAAAAGCAATTTGGTGACTTTATAAAGCCATTTCTAACGTCTAGAACTATGCCCAATTGTCCTAAAACCTTCCATTTCACCTGTTATATGTCATGAAAGCAAGTAGACACTTTTTTAACCTTTACGTTTTTCTCCATTTCATATATCTGTCACAATTATATAGTATCGAATTCAGTAATAGCATTGACTATATAAACTTTAACACTAGTGTTTATATATTCAATGGTAATGACAATTTGACAACTATGGAACATCAGGAAATCAGCTGTTTCCCCGTCCTCGCTCGCGCGCTCGGCACCCGCATTTGCCCTAGCATGTCAACAGCTGACTGCTGTAAAGGTTGGATGATGCGTACAACACTTTCCATAGCGTAATATTGTTTTATTCGTTGTGCTATATTGTCCAAAAAGTTTATCTATGTGGAACTTAATACTACTCCTGTCATCGCTTATTAAGTTTAATAAAAACTACATTGATGTCTGTTTTATGACATTGCGTTACGGACAAAATGTACGTTTAAATTTTATTTTTCCAAGGCCAAGGGGGGGGGGCTTTAGCCCCTGTAGCCCCCCCCCCTTGGAACCGCCACTGACAGCTGGTTGCTTTATCCCTTAGGTTACTAACAAACTCTGAAATTGATTGATTGTCAGTTTGATAGATCGATTGAAACTGGTGCTGTGAAACAAGTACATTTCTTTTAGGTTCTGGATGTTTTCTGGATGTTCTCTTAGAATTTTGACCAGGTCATCGTAAGTTAATTCGTTCGGATTATCGGATTATTTGGTGCAGATAAGGATGAAACTATTTTTAAATTGCTTGTTCCAATTGAGTTCAAGAGCAATTTAGCACAGTAATCTTTGTTAGATGCAATATTTTTCATTTGAATGTAATTTTCAAAGCGTTGATAATTATTTGAAAAAGTTTCCTTTTGATGGTCAAAAATTTCAAAGTTGGGCACATAAGAATGAGTTAAGTTTGTTTTGGATTGATCAGTATCACCATGTGGCTTTACGTTAGAACGTTGTGTTGAAAGTTGACTTACCAATGTTGTTATCATGGCTTGTTGCATTTCCAAAAATTGCTTGAATTGTTCTGGATCTATATTGATGAGATTATAGTTGAAATGTTTCTAATTGATATTAGAAAATGCAGCTAGATGAAAAAAATGGTTGATAGTCTTGGCCTAGATTGCTTACAGGTAATGTTCATGCAGTAAAAGTCACTCACTTGAGGTTTACTCGTCGCCAATCAACTTGTCGTGGCCTTGTGTATGCACGTGTATTTTGTTGACTTTGATAATTGAAAAATGTAGCTTCATTTGAAAAGATTTATTTTACAATACATAATTGATTGATAAAGCCTTCAAACTCCGTATATTGGGGTTTCACCGTAATCACACGAATAAAACAAACTACAGAGTATGCAGTAGATGAACTGCATTAATTTTTTTAATAAATATCTGATTCAGCCAGAACTGCATCCTTCAAGGTATTCCAATCTAAATTTTGTGAATAGTTGATAAGCAATCCTTTCTATGGCATCCATGAATTTCTTAAAACAAAAGTTGATATTGAATTTTGATGTGTATCTACATGATCAATATTCTCTAATCTCTAGACATGACATATTTTAATTAACTAAGTATTTTGTAGACTTTGTATTTTTTTTGTTAATTTAAAATGTTTTGTATGTGTTTTGACTATGTCTATTCCTTTGTACAAAGAAAGGTCAGTGGCAATAAATCTCTTGATCCTTGAACATCCTGTACCTACAAGTGTACCAAATTTGGCTTATACCCGATTTTTTCCTCTGTTTTGTCTTTTTTTGTCTTCGCTGCCAGAATTTGATCAGGACTATTTAAGATAATGGGTAACATTTCGCTGCGACTAATTACGATAATAGGTAACATCAACTGCTGATTAACTAAAAAATCAGCTGTTTTAGTTGTTAGTGACCCAATGAGAGCAAATATTGATGTACGTACAGTCGGTCGTACACAGTATCTTAAAAACAAGTTTTCTCTCTTATTTAATTCATCAACCAATTTTCTTAAAATAGGGTATCATTAGAATAATTGTAAGACAATTGTCTAAATAAAACATTACAACAGTATTTTTGTTTACCTATGTAGCATTATTTCTGTTATCTCAGATATTTTAAATTGCCACCATTTTTTAACTAAACATAATAAAAAATAATATTTTTTCTCAGAATAGGTCTTTTACGTAATTAATCTAAGTACCAAATTTCATCTCAATACAAAAACCCATTTACAAATAAAAAATAGTTTTCTGAGAAAAACATTGTAGCTATTCAAGTAACTTTTTGGAAATTTTTAGTTTGTCTTTGGCTTAGGAATGGTACATTAAAAGATCGGTTCAAAGACAGCCTGTATATTACAAATCCTATACATAAATCATTGTACCTGTTAATGGTCGGTAACTTATTAGCACTTGTTTTAATAATTCACATGGATTTTTTCAACATTACTTTATTCAAAAGATGAGGTAAAAAGGTCATACCTGGGTGGTACCCCACTGGGGGGCCACGGTGAGGTAGCTGTAGGACTCACAGGCCCCACCACCCCCACTGGCTACTCCATGCTCTAGACAGTGGTGGAGATGTGTCTCTATCTCACTCAGAGCACTCACACTAGTCTCCCACTGCAAATAAACACATTCAAGTAATAAAGGCAAGGACAGAAGTTGTAGGACTCACAGACCCCCCCCCCCCACCCACTGGCTACTCCATGCTCTAGACAGTGGTGGAGATGTGTCTCAATCTCACTCAGAGCACTCACACTAGTCTCCCACTGCAAATAAACACATTCAAGTAATAAAGGCAAGGACAGAAGTTGTAGGACTCACAGCCCCCCCCCCCCCCACCCACTGGCTACTCCATGCTCTAGACAGTGGTGGAGATGTGTCTCTATCTCACTCAGAGCACTCACAATAGTCTCACACTGCAAATAAACACATTCAAGTAATAAAGGCAAGGACAGAAGTTGTAGGACTCACAGCCCCCCCCCCCCCCACCCACTGGCTACTCCATGCTCTAGACAGTGGTGGAGATGTGTCTCTATCTCACTCAGAGCACTCACAATAGTCTCCCACTGCAAATAAACACATTCAAGTAATAAAGGCAAGGACAGAAGTTGTAGGACTCACAGCCCCCCCCCCCCACCCACTGGCTACTCCATGCTCTAGACAGTGGTGGAGATGTGTCTCTATCTCACTCAGAGCACTCACAATAGTCTCCCACTGCAAATAAACACATTCAAGTAATAAAGGCAAGGACAGAAGTTGTAGGACTCACAGCCCCCCCCCCCCCACCCACTGGCTACTCCATGCTCTAGACAGTGGTGGAGATGTGTCTCTATCTCACTCAGAGCACTCACAATAGTCTCCCACTGCAAATAAACACATTCAAGTAATAAAGGCAAGGACAGAAGTTGTAGGACTCACAGCCCCCCCCCCCACCCACTGGCTACTCCATGCTCTAGACAGTGGTGGAGATGTGTCTCTATCTCACTCAGAGCACTCACAATAGTCTCCCACTGCAAATAAACACATTCAAGTAATAAAGGCAAGGACAGAAGTTGTAGGACTCACAGGCCCCACCACCCCACTGGCTACTCCATGCTCTAGACAGTGGTAGAGATGTGTCTCAATCTCAGTCAGAGCACTCACACTAGTCTCCTATTAAATACAAATTAATACAAAATATATGAGCACAACTCTTGATACATGTTTATTTCTTAATAATGAAAGATAAACATTGAATCATTTACAATGTAAAATTATTCCAGTCATATGAATAATATTAAAAAAAAGATAGATTTTTGGGATATATAACATCTCCCATTACAAATAAACACATTCAAGTAATAAAGGCAAGGACAGAAGTTGTAGGACTCACAGGCCCCCCCCCCCCCCACTGGCTACTCCATGCTCTAGACAGTGGTGGAGATGTGTCTCTATCTCACTCAGAGCACTCACAATAGTCTCCCACTGCAAATAAACACATTCAAGTAATACATTCAAGTAAACATTGAATAATTTACAATGTGAAATTATTCCAGTCATATGATTAATATTAAAATAAAAGATAGATTTTTGGGATATATAACATCTCCCATTGCAAATAAACACATTCAAGTAATAAAGGCAAGAACAGAAGTTGGAGGACTCACAGGCCCCACCACCCCACTGGCTACTCCATGCTCTAGACAGTGGTAGAGATGTGTCTCAATCTCACTCACAGCACTCACAATAGTCTCCCACTGCAAATAAACACATTCAAGTAATAAAGGCAAGAACAGTAGTTGTAGGACTCACAGGCCCCACCACCCCACTGGCTACTCCATGCTCTAGACAGTGGTAGAGATGTGTCTCAATCTCACTCAGAGCACTCACACTAGTCTCCCACTGCAAATAAACACATTCAAGTAATAAAGGCAAGAACAGTAGTTGTAGGACTCACAGGCCCCACCACCCCACTGGCTACTCCATGCTCTAGACAGTGGTAGAGATGTGTCTCAATCTCACTCAGAGCACTCACAATAGTCTCCCACTGCAAATAAACACATTCAAGTAATAAAGGCAAGAACAGTAGTTGTAGGACTCACAGGCCCCACCACCCCACTGGCTACTCCATGCTCTAGACAGTGGTAGAGATGTGTCTCAATCTCACTCAGAGCACTCACACTAGTCTCCCACTGCAAATAAACACATTCAAGTAATAAAGGCAAGAACAGTAGTTGTAGGACTCACAGGCCCCACTACCCCACTGGCTACTCCATGCTCTAGACAGTGGTAGAGATGTGTCTCAATCTCACTCAGAGCACTCACAATAGTCTCCCACTGCAAATAAACACATTCAAGTAATAAAGGCAAGGACAGAAGTTGGAGGACTCACAGGCCCCACCACTCCACTGACATGTGATGAACAAGACCCAAAACTTTGAGATTTGTTTATCTCGAAGCTTTGGGCGGGATTGAAATACTAACGGGATATTTTCGATTAGGATGCATTCCACGACATCCAAGTGCCACAACGTCCAAAATACTATAAATATTTCTGAATATAAAAAGTAGATATAATTTTTTTTTAAACTTTCCATTAAATCTCGTCCCAAAAAACACAGCCTCGGAGATCAGGGCGGCAACCCTAGGTTCGGCCCTGGGCTAGTAAATACATGGCATTGGCGCAAATTGACTGTATTTTACTCACCAGAGAATGGATCTGATCAGGGTCCTGGCTAGTGGTGGAGTCCAAGAGCAACAGGAGAGTCATGTCTTGGTACCCACAGACGTACAACACGTTTTCTTCCACAGGTTCAAGGTCTCGTTTCTCCCTTTCTCTCTCGGCCCGGGACTTTCTAAATGGTTGTGTTGGTACCAGAGGTGTGGCAGGGTTGGCGGCCTTGTCCGCAGGTGTGGGAATCTCCCCCACTCTCTGCTCCATTGCCAAGAGACTCAGCTTGGCCATTAATGGAGTCAATGGAATCGAGATATTTGGTTTTTTTGATCTCAGTTCAATCATTGGGACCATATCTGTTAGGATGTCAAACGCAATTACAATCTATGCCAATATATAATAGACAATTTACTGTATTGTAAATATTTAAACAACTATGATGATTGTTTTGAAAAATTGAAAAGAGTTAGATGTTGATTTGAGTTTGCTACAAGTGAAACAGTCCCTCATGGCTTTGTTCTGTTTTGTAGATTTTAGTTGTTAAAGAAAAGGCATAAATAAATTATTACATCTCATAACATTTTAGAAAAATAATCCTTATAAATGTAGGCCTAAGACAATCCTTTCAATAACTAAAAACTAAAAAGTAACATGCGTTGAAAACAATGAAAACATCATATAGCTTCGTTTATTTAGAGTTGGTCAACACATAAACCATAAAGAATTATAAGTAATACCAAACATCAATCAAAACCACACCCATTCAATAGATAATAATTATTTTCAAAATAAAACTAGTATTTTTAACAATGAAGTACAACAATAACAAATCTAGTTGGAAAACAGATGACATCTAGAAGGATTTAAGAAAAATAGATAGATCAAACAAGATAATTCAAACAATATATTGAACCCCTTGAGTGCTACAAATCCTTTAAAATATAATTTTAATTACTACTTGATGGAATGGCTAACCCATCAAATCATTCAAATCACCATTGAAAACACTACAATTAAGTATCACTAGTGGTTCAATATTTCATGATCATCATGTACTAACCCATTAAAGCATAACTGTTTTTTAATATCCAAAATAGGCACTCAGGAGGTTATAAAAGATTTTTTGAAAAGGGAGAGTGTTCAGCAAGCTTGCTTGAGCTTGAAAGAATTGAAGTCCATAGGCTAATAGATACCTAAGGAAGGCAAAAAATAACATTGATTTCTTCCTAGTACAGTACATCTTCAGAGAGTTGGTAAAAAGAAATTTACAACAAAATATCCGTGTTATATTTTGTAAACTTTTTCTTATATTCAACAGCCCCTTGACTCTAATTTTCCCAAGTAAGCTAGCTGAACTCTATTCCTTTTCATAAAATTACTCGTTAGTTTAAGAGAAATGGAGAGCAGAGATCACACAGATAAGGGGATTTTAACAAGACAGTCTGCAAGTTGCTGAAACAGAGACATGTTTTAGAGTCATGCAGGCAGACCATGCTGAGTGTGACATGCAGCTTTGCAGTACCCTGGGTGTCAGTGTTGGACGGGCCTAGTGGCAGGTTGAGTGCTCGTCTCACACGTTCCTTCTTGCTCCGAGTATTCTCGCCAAAACCCAAGGCGAAACTCTTAGGTCGAGGCTCTAACAACCAGTATAGGTTAAGGGTCTAAGGTATAGCTGTGCTGTAATGTTACTATTGAGTTGGTAAATGATTCAAATGTGTTATTATATCAAAATAAAAGCAGGGATGTGTTGATTACAATTCACTACTCCATTTTACAATATTTTACATTGAAAAATTATTCGTATTCTCTTCAAGCTCTCTTCTTTTAAGGTTCGTATTTTCTTTTCTTTGTAGATTGTGCCTTTGTATAAATGAATGAAGATAAGAATTTTTATAAAAATAATTTTTAAATAAATTCATTGGTACTTGTAGATAATGGACGGCTTGAACTAATGGTTTTAAACCTTAGAACTTTTCATTTCAGATCCAGCCATTTAGCTTAGCTTTTTGATCAAATTTGGAGAAATACCAATAGAGTAGAGCAGACCCTATTGTATTTTTAATTGTTGTGCATATTCAAAAACTTGTTTATTAAGTTAGTAGGTGATGTAATTTATGAGATAAATAAATAAAGGTCCTTAAAATAGTCATGTCTCTAACAGTTTTAAATATAAATCACATATCTGTTCTATTTGAAAAGCAGGGGTGCTGCAGCTTGGACACATACAGGAGGTCCCGTTAGTGAACAGGCAAATAACGGGAAATTGTTCTCTATGGGCCAAAAAAAAAAAAAACAAATCAAGAATTAGAGATTTTCCAAAATTGCTTTGTTAACAATATATCGGCCTTTTTGTAATTTTACAAAAAATGTTTTATCTTTGAATTGTTCTAACTGATATTTATGAACCTTGGTATGGTAAAAATGATCTAAGTTAGAACAACAAATTAATTTTGACTCCAAGGGAAGCAGACAAACCCAGCCATCAAAAACTGTGACACTCCCATGAATATACACCACACAAACCAGACATAACAGCCTAATGTCTTAACCAGAACAAAGCCCAAACATTATAAAAGTCCAGCCAGAAATCCATAGGCATCTAAATGGAACTGAACCAGAGCAACCTTCACCTAAAAACCAAAGACTACCAACTCTCAATCTGGAAAGAAACATGAATCTTACGGATAAAGACCCACACTCCATAGATACTATAGACACTCTTGAGATAAACATGCCCTCTAACATGAGTTCTGCTCAAATAACAAACCTATGTAGGTCAGACGCTATGATCCCTTTTTTTAGGAACAGGACATCGAAAATGGAGGAGAAACAAACACACACCATTCATCCAAAATACACGAATTTTATGGAACTCCATTCTGCCGAAAATCGATTAACCCCAATCTCAATATCCCAAAACCACCCAACTTCTATCAACATTATATCACAACTGGTTCATAACCAGACCATTTCTGTAACAAAACCTAAGACAAAAGAACAGGCCACAAACTGCTCAAAAGGCAAAAAAATTAAAGCTGGCAGAAAAAAATCCAAAATAACTCTAATGCATAAAAACATAAGGGGGTTGATCAAATAAAGTTGATAGATTAAGCCACACACTATCAACCATTCTGCCTACCATATTGATTCTTACTGAACACGGATTAAACTCAGAAGCCCTGGCCAACACAAGACTCCCAGGATACAGCCTGATAGCTTGGGTCGATCATGGTTTTGCTGCGATCATAAAAGACGATGTTGCTGTGACCGCAGAAGATATTTACGATTTTGATGCTACCGCAAGATGCTTACAATTTTGCCGTGACTGTGGCAGGTGTCATCGATTTCACTGTGACCACGGGAAATGTTTTTGATTTTCCCGTCACCGTGGAAGGTGTTCTCGATATCTCCGTGATTGCAGGAGGTGATCTCAATTTCAACTTGACCATGGGAAACTTTGAGTCACTGTGGAAGGTATTCACAATTTAACATTGACCATAGAAGATGTGCATGATTTTGCTGTGATCACAGAAGATATTCTCGTATTGGCTGTGACCACAGAAGACGTTCACAATTTTGCCACTACAAGAGATGATGATTCAACAGCCGGTTTTTCATGCGCTTACAGAGATTTGTGAGGGTTTACGCAAGCAAATTCAACACTTGGCTTTAGGTGAAACCTTGTAAATTCGTCCTAGATCCATATTACACAAAAATGGCACTAAAATCAGGGTGACCTGGTTACATATTACAATTCACGCATAATTCCCAGTTTTTTTCTTACTCGTAAAAAAAGTTTACAGTATTTTTGAACGTGCTAAAAATTTACCTTTTGGCTGTTCTGACCATGGTACAATGCGTGGTACAATGACCTCCTCGACGTAATATCGTCATAGTGGGATATGAGAGGTTCTACTGCACGTCGATGTGCAATCAAAATAACATGATACTCACTTTTTTCTTTTGTTGTTTCCTGTGAAAGCTGTCTGTAATGTCTTGTAACGCGAGTGTCATAGAGAGCTTGTGAGGCTGGGAGTCCGTTTCGTCGAAAAAGTGGAAAGGAAGGATCAGCTATTGTGTTGCAATACTTCATAACTGTTTGTTTCTCTTTTTCTTCACGAACTGAATTTGCCACTCCTAAACTGAGATACCTAAAGTTTAAAAAGAAGGGTATTAGCTAGGGGTCTGCGGTACAGAAAACTTAAGGTTGGTACGGTACAATATTTTGTACCTCGGTTATCGGTACAAAATCGGGATGGTACGTGGCTACCAGTAGTTTTGCGGTTTTCTCCTCAGAATTGTATTGAAACCATTATTTGTAATTTAAATACATTGACATTACTATGAAAATGGTTAGTATCCTGCATTTATGGTTTTCTTTTTTTTCTAACAACAATTACTGTCCCACACATTATTAAAACTTAACTTCTAACAGTGTCAAGAAATAAACAAAGTTAAGATAAAGGCTTCACCTATTTTACTACTAAGTTAAGCCCTTGCCTTGATAATAGGGGTCTGCCAGTCAGACTTTTTTTGGTTTGGGTCGGGCCAAAAATTGTTAATTAACAGATTGTTTTTGTTTTAACGTCAATTTATAGTAATACTTGATAATAAAATATGAAAAAAATTTATTTATGTATATTACCTATATCATTTCATATCTTATTTACAGCTTGGGAATTTCCTCAACTGCATGAAAGAAAAAAATAAAAATATTTGTATCAAGACATTCTTTCCCATTTTTATAACTAACTGTTGAAATAACTAAATAGCTAAATTACAACAAGTTTTGAATGGAACTTAATATAAAAATATCATAAACAAATAAATGGACATATCACAATTTTAGGGCCTGTTGACTGGCTTCAAGACTGCAAGAAAGAAGAAAATAAAAATTCTATGTTTCCACCATGCAATATGTATCATTCTCCCTCCCTCCTAACTACCAAAACCTACTACTAACCACCAACCCTACCTACCTACCTACCTACTACTAAGTACAAAACCTCACACTTGCAATAGCATTATTAGTTACATCATCATAAATACATAATTGATCTATTATTGGCATTAGTAGGCCTACAGCTTTACATAAGAATTATTTTTATAGAGCCTTAAATAGTACACACACACATTGATAATGGTATAATTAGTACAGACTGTAAAAATTGCATATCATGTCATACAGTAGTATAGATAGACCTACTGCAAAAGATTAAATCTAAAAACAACAGATATTGATAACTAATAAATAAATAAATGAAAAGAATTAAAAATCTATATACTCAAGTCAAACAATAACACAATTAAGCGTGGGGTGAAAATAGAGAATTCTGTACATTAAATATTTTTGGTTGAGTTTTCGACCACTGGACAACTTCTAGTATATATTATTGTGCACTTGTGATGTTTTAAGGATTGAAAATATGTATCGGTCTTTGACACCTCAAAATGTGAACACACTGCACACACCAAACTACTTACCTTACACAGATTTTATTGTCTTCATTAAAAGGAATGTCGTCAGTAGTACGACATGTGCTGATGTTGTCATTGGTTGGATCGGGAACAACAAATCCAGACGGAGCCACAGACAGCAGTCTAGCTGCTTTACGAGCCTTTACTGCGTCTTTCACTACATCTGGAACTTTTTCCCTCTCCACTTCACCCTCTGCCTCCTCCACAACTGTAGTGAACATCATGGAAACATCTCGCTTCATGCCGAATGTGGAACCTATAGGAGGTTCTTTGTTGTTATTTTTCATCGCACCTTTATCCTGAGAAAAAACACATGATGAAAAACCCATTGCATATTGTTGTAAATAAGAAGAGAATATTTAAGTTATTAATTGGACAATGTTAGACTAAGATAGGAAATTAGTGAACTTTGGACCTTGGGTTCAGAGAAAGGCCCCTCCCCTACTAGAATGAGACGCCGCTTCAGTTCCAGCTGAGATCCAGGTATGGCTAGACGTGTCTATCTGTTCTGATCATAAGATAATAAGATAAGATAGTAAAAATCCTAATACAGTTTAAAGTACTTAAACATATGTTTTCTGGGTTGAAACACATATCAGTAAATAAATTGCATTTCAAAATCCCAGACAAACACTGTAAGTCTACATTTCACAACAAATTAAAACTCTTGCCATAGACTTTGGACACTGCAAGTAGACTTCACTTCTGTTTGCAAATCTGACCTCCGTTATGATGTGTGTTTCATGTCTTGTTTTTTTTTTTCATATGCTGTTGTAAAAAAATGTAGTTTTTTTTATTTTAAAGGTGATTTTACAATGTGAGCTTTACTTTTAATATATTATGTTTTTGCTTACGTTACGTTAATTGAAATTACATTAGGTTAACTGAAAGTCCAAATTATTTACAAACAAGTTTACTAGGAACACAAACCACACAGTAATGGCAAAAAAAAACCAAAATGGCTAAAGTGCACGTGACTGAGAATCCACACATCTCATCAACTTCCACCCGAGCATTGACTGATTATTTTAAGTAGGCTGGACAGGTGAACTCCTTATTGGACACCAATACAGAATCCAAACCCTAATTTCACATTGTAGTCTACATAGACTGCTTGGCCATTGATCAGACTTGACAGTGTACTACACTCACCACTAGCAACACTGATCAAGGACAAGTCCAAGCACACTAGTTTTAAAATTAACTCAAAGGTCCATTCCATCGTTTGATGAATGTCTTACTCCTCACTGTAGAGTTATTCTTATGAGGTTGCAAAACCGAGCCCTAAGGTTTGTTTTCAATCTGAGGAAGTTTGATCATATATCTACCTATCGCAAACAGGCTAAGGTGCTCTCTTTGTGAAAGCAATGTTTTCCACAAACTGTTTTGATTGTTCACAAGACCATGTCTTCTAATTTTCCTTATTTGAAAAGAAAACTTATGCCTCGAACATAAGTTAGGAATCGCTGTACTAGGCAGGACGGCTTGCTTGAAATGCCGAGTGTGGCGTGAGACAGGTAAAAAAAGGGTTCTCATACTTTGGACTCCAGGCATACAATACCCTCCCAAGAAACATGAAAAGACTGTCATGTAATTCGTTTAAAGCCAAATTAAAGCTAGTTTAGTTTCACTTACCACATCTTGTACTGTTTGTAATTATTGTATGTAATTGTATTGTTTATGACTTCAGTTGTCTTGAAAACCAGTTTTTACTGAAGACCTTATATTCAGGTTTCTGTAATGTATACAATAGTTTACCGTAATGTTGTAATTTTTACCATATGTATAATTTTGTTATAAAAAGTTGGCAATATGTTTTGCATTTGTGACCTGACTGCAATCAGGTGACTGTCACGTAATATCGTATGTTTCTGTAATGGAATGACATGTGATTTAGTAATTATTTGTATGTTTACTCATATGACTATGTTTACCAGGGGTTACTATGTTGTTGACTTGTTTTGATGTGAGTTGTTAAGTTAGTTGAATGTTGAATAAAAGTTCTTAGAAGAATTTGTTTTATTCTATCTACAACAAACATGGTGGCAGTGTTTAGACTGAAGAAGAATATTTTAAAATGGAATTGACACCAGAATTACTGAAAAATATATTAAACTCTGTTCTTAATACTAAAATGAGTGAAGAGGCTAAATCTAGGCAAGAACCTATGTACCAAGTCAAACCTCCTGATCCTTTCAACTTCCAAGATCCAGCAACATGGTCAAACTGGATAAAGGTATTTGGAATGTTCCGTAAAGCTACTGGGTTGGCTTTAAAATCTGAAGATCAGCAGGTGAACATGTTATTGTACTGCATGGGCCAAGAAGCTGAGGAACTCCTAACGTCACTAGGAATGTCTGAGGAAAAAAGGGTTTCATTTGATGTGGTAGTGAAAACTTTTGATGATTATTTTTCTACCAAGAAAAATATATTTTATCATCGAGCTATGTTTCTACAGAAAGACCAATGTCCAGGCGAGAAGGTTGACTCTTACATTAATGATTTACATAAAATGTCAGAGAAATGTGAATGGTCATGCAGCAATTGTAAGAGTAGACATTTTAATGATGAAATGATACTTCTTAAGCTTACAGGGATGTCTAATAAGAGTTTATCCAAACACCTACAATTAAAAGATGGGATAACGTTGACTGGGGCAGTTCAAGCAGCAAGACAAGCAGAAGCGATGGAACAACAGGCTGCTAACTCGGAAGAGATAAGCAAAACATCAGTCATGGAAACAAGAAAGACGTTTTCATCAAGGTTTGCTAAAACCAGCGACACACAGCAGTTTGGTAAGGCCTCAGCATTTAATCAAAATAGTCAGAAATGTAGTCGGTGTGGTTCAAATCAGTTTCATTCCAAGGAAAAGTGTCCGGCAGTTGATAAAGTTTGTTTCAAATGCGGATTAAAGGGCCATTTTAGTCGGTCATGTAAACGAAAAAGTTTCAATTCAGTAGTTCAGGAGGTTGAATCTGAACCATCATCTAGCAAAGTTAATCCATTTGCTCTGAGTTCTGTTACGATTGATGAAAGGGTGTCAAATATAAGTTCCTCCCAGCCGTTTTATGTAAAACTTTTGGTTAATGAGACTGATTATCTTAACTTCAAAATTGACACTGGTGCTGATGTCAGCTGTATTGGAATTCAACATGCACAGATTTTGAATCTTAAGATTAAAAAAACTAGTATCAAGTTGAAAGGTCCTGATAGTATACCACTTAAAGTAATTGGTAAGTCAATCGTGAGCTTAAAGAAAGATGGTATAGATCATATGGAGGAAGTGTTCATTCTAAGCAGCCAGAAAGAGCCCCTCTTAGGGAGGACAGGGATATTAGCATTTTCATTGCTTAAGGACATTGGTGAAGTAAGTTTAAAAAACGAGTGGGAAGCAAAATATCCAAAGCTTTTTTCAGGTCTAGGAAGGTTTACTGAGCCCTATACGATCAAGTTAAAAACTGATTATAACCCAGTTTCTATTGAGACGCCACGAAGGATCCCTATATCGCTCAGGGATAAAGTAAAGATTGAGCTTGATAAAATGGTAAAAGCTGATGTGATAGCACCTGTCACAGAACCAACAGAGTGGTGCTCTCCCTTGGTTGTTGTCCCTAAAAAGTCCGGCTCAGTAAGGTTGTGTGTTGATTTTACAGCTCTCAACAAATATGTAGAGAGAGAAAGACTAATTTTGCCATCTGTGGATGAGACCTTAGCTCAGATGGCAGGAGCAAAAATATTTTCTAAACTTGACACAAACAGTGGTTTCTGGCAAGTAGGCCTTGACAGTGAAAGTGCCAAGTTTGACAACTTTTATAACGCCTTTTGGTAGGTTTTATTTCAAGCGATTACCTTTTGGGATCAGCTCAGCTCCTGAACATTTTCAAAGGAAAATGTTTGCATGTTTGGAAGGTTTAGAAGGTGTTGTAAATTTAACTGATGACATATGTGTGTTTGGTAGTACGAAGGAAGAACACGACAAAAGACTTAACTGTGTTCTCTCTCGTCTATGTGAAACGGGTATCACTTTGAATCGGGAGAAGTGCGTGTTTGAAAAGACAAAGATAACTTTCTTGGGACATTTTATTGAAAATGGCCAGCTTATGCCAGACTCAGAAAAGACCTTGGCTGTGGAGAAGTATCCTGTTCCAAAAAATCAAACCGAGTTGAAACGTTTTCTTGGAATGGTAAACTATTTAATGAAGTTTCTTCCCAACCTTTCAGAACTGACCAAGCCATTAAATGATCTTTCAAAAAGAAATGAATGGTACTGGTACGATCTTCATGAGAAACAGTTCAAGCAGATAAAGGAGTCATTGATTCAGGCTCCCGTTTTACATTTGTATAATCCTGAGAGGAAAACTAGAGTGTGTGCAGATGCATCGAAATTTAGACTTGGAGCCATTTAGGAACAAAATGTGGATGGTCAATGGAAGCCAATACAATATGCATCAAGAACTATGACTAACACAGAATCTCGGTATGCTCAAATTGAAAAGGAGGCTCTTTCCCTAACTTGGGCTTGTGAGAAATTCTGTTCTTTCATTTTGGAAAAGAAATTTGAACTGGTTACTGATCACAAGCCCCTTATCCAAATTTTAGGACAACAGTCTTTGTGTGACCTGACACCTCGGTTGCAGAGATTCATAATGAGACTCATGCCTTTTGATTATGAAATGAGGTATGAAACAGGAAAAAGCTTCTTTGTTCCTGATGCACTGTCTAGGGCACCATTGCAGACTGTTTCAACTGCGGAAAGTGATATACTAGATGAAGATGTTGAGGTGTTTGTTAATTCAGTTGTGTCTACCTTACCTTGCTCAGACAGTAGATTAGAAATAATTCGTCAAAGTGTGAAAGAAGATGTTATATGTAACATGTTGAGGAAAGAAATAGAATCAGGTGAGTGGACGGACTTAAAGAATACAGAATTTTTCAGAGAACGAGGGAATTTGTCTTTTGTTAATGGACTGATTTTAAAAGGATTAAGGATATTTATTCCAAAACCTTTAAGAAATGAGATTTTATCCCAGATACATAGTGGACATCTAGGAGTAAATAAGTATCTGGCTCGTTCAAGGGACACAGTTTGGTGGCCTGGACTATCGGTGGATATAAAGAGAATGGTTGAGAACTGCTCTAGTTGCTTGGAGAATCGGGTTAATCCTGCCGAACCACTGATCACGTCTGTGGTTCCTAATCAACCTGGGAAGTTGTTGGGACAGATTTATTCGTGTATAATAGAAGAGTATATATTTGCATGCAAGACTATTTTTCAAAATATATTGAATTGTTGTCATTG